AGAAAAATCTTAAAAGAATAACTAAAAAGACTTGATTTTCAACTACACAAAAATAGTCAAAATAAATATTATTTTTGGTATTTTTTCATTGATTCATAAAATAGAGGGGATAAATAGTAAGTGTGCAAAAAATCAATAAAAAATAATTAATTTTGCATATAGAAATAAATAAAAGAACATAGGAAGAAAAATGAACAAAAATAGTAATAAAAAGAAAGGTTTATGGCGAAAGGAGGTTGAACCCATGCCCTTATACTTACAAGCTAAAACAAATACCACTAGGCCACACGTTGTGTCTGACATAACATGTTTCTATTTAATAAAATATCAAACATGCTTAAAAAATGAATTGAAAAAAATAAGCAAAAGGACTGGGGCGAGGGGGTTCCAACCCCAGACCCTTTGCTTCACACACAAACACACAAACCAACGCATTAACCACTGTGGCGTAATGCCAGTTCGTGAATTATACAACTTGCATTGAATATAAAATAAACTCAAGTTCAAAAATGGAAAAATGACACCACCACCATCTTCACCTTTTTCGTGAAACAACAACAACACCAACAATGGTGAAATTTCCAACTTCCTAATTTCTCAACTAAATCACAAAGTGTAAAAACCAAACTTGCTCGGAATTTAACAAGGAGTTCAAAAATGTCCATATCATGAATTAATATTGACTGTAGCTCATGAATTTTGATCAAAACCAGAAACCCTAACTTTTTTCAAAGTTAAATTAAATTGCACATATGATCAACCAATGCCTATTTTAATAGAATTTTCATGTATGACATTAAAACACACAGAATAATATCAAGAAATATTCAAAATGATTCTTGTATGGATGACTTCAAATTCAAGAAAAAAAACTCACCTATTGGAGCAAGATTCAACACCTTCTTCAAGCACTTTCAGTGATGACAATCACCTCTTTAGCTTGTATGATATCACAGGAACACAATGCAACTTTTTGTTTGCTTTAAAGTTGTCTCAAACTCTCTAACCAAGTTCACTTATGATGGTGAATGAGCATGGGTTGGGTGGAGAAATAAGGGTATTCCAGATGCAAACTAATGCATTCATAAGCTTATATGTGGTGTGTAGATGGTGTTTGAGTGATTAGTTTGAAAAAAACTTACAAGGAATGGAAATTTTTAAGAAATGAATTTTGAGCTTTAATGGAGTTTTCAAAACTTCACTATGTGTTTGAGTTTGAGGGGGATTTTAGGTGTATTTTGGACTTGAGAATGACTCTCTCTATTTATAGAGGAAGGTTGAGAGATCAAGGCCTGGTGAGAAACAAAGTCTTGCAAGTTAAGGTTTAGTTGGATCACAAATGGAAGTTACATGAATTATGGTGATTCTAATGTGACACAAAGTTTGGTTTGTAGAAAATAGGTTCTCTTTTTTGAGTTTAGAGGTAGTGTGTGTTTAGAAGCAACAATGTAGAGGCTCCAAGCAAGAATAATTGGAAAAGTGATCCTTTATGCAAATGGATATCAAGCTTTTTGCAAATTCTTCTAAAAATGGTATGGTGAATTGGATAAAGCCTATAATCTTAATGTAATGCATCAAGGGTTTGTGTAATTGCTCAATTATGTTGAGATTTGCAAGTAATAGGACTTTTAAAGTGAGATCTCATATTTAGGTTTAGGTTTTGACATAATTTTGAACCATAAGTCTGTCTTGTAAAATCTCTCTACCATGGCTACTTCATCTCTTCAAAATTCCTTGCTTAAGTATGACAAATTCATGCTCTTGAACTTTTTTGGAAATATGAGAGCATCCTCTACAACTTTCATGTGGAGCACTTGGTATGAATCAATTGGAATCATGGAGAGAAATGCCTTATAAATTGGTGTTTCAAGCTGAAAACACTTAGAAAATTCTTCTAAGTCTTTGGACATTTTAACAACTTTGAGATGCCTTCTTGATCAACTCATATCTTTCAATTCTCATGATCTTTTTGGTTCATTCCTTCTACAATGTTTAAGTATGTAGGATTATCTTGAAGTACATCCCTTGGGCATGAAAAATGATGGCTTGAGGAAGAAGTTACAAACTTGGAAAGTCATGTACTTGAACACGAATTTTTGATACTTAATAAAATTTTCAACATCTTCAACTTTATCCTTTTGCAAGTTACCTCCAATTTTGTGTTTTCACTTGATCAAATTCAAATATCAATCGATATCACATTTTTATAAAATTTAACTTGAGGAGTCCATATTTGACTAGAAATCTCAAAAGTCAAAGTCTTACTTTGAGCAATTGACTTTTCCAGATGAATTCAAATATTCAAGTTTCAATAGAACCTTGTGATGATAATGCAATCTTCAACACGTTGGGACACTTTGAGGACTATGAGATGATGATATTGAGGATCTCTTGAGTGATGTGCCATGGAGATCAATCCCCAAAACCCTAATTCTTGACTTTTCAACTGAGTGTGTCAAAAACCTAATTATTTTCAAGCACTTGTGAATCTGTGATGAAATCCTATTGATGAGGATTGAGATGAAGGTGATGATCATCATAAGTGAGTCAGAGGTATGAATCTTTGAGGAATATGCATGCCCTTGATTAATCAACTACTTGAGCTCCTTGATCCAACACACCCATCTTATACAAAAAATAATTAAAACAAGACAAAACCCTTGTACTTTTACGAGGGTAGGGATGCACAAATGAAAGATATGATCTTTGATATTATGGAAATGGTGCAAAGAGAGATGAGATCATAGGTAAAAAATTAGGGTATAATATCTGTAAACCCACATCGTCTCGTTTTTATTTTTATTTTAGATAAATAGATCTGCACTCTCAACTATATGCATTCTAACATGTCTATTTTTTCAAACTTTTCAAAAAAAAATTTAAATAAAACAAGCATACTCGTTTATTACCCATCTTATAAACAACTCAAACTAACGGGTAGCTTATAAATGTTAATATGTACTCTTATAGTGAAGTTAGCAAATCCTTATATTAAATTACAAAGTATATTCATTATTAGTTTGTCTTTTTGGTTAGGACCCAACAAAACGCCCCCTAGTTATATCAATATTTTATTTTGCTGAACTTTAACATCATGAGTACATTGTATCCATTGTATTCATATAGGACCCTACCTTAATGCTAGAAAATTCATTTATATGCTGACTCTAGACCACACAAATAAAGATACACCAAAACAAAATATAAAAAAAATGGCGGTGATGAAGTCTATAAAAGAAAATTATAGGTACAATACATAGTACTCTAATTAAGGTTACAAAAATGGTTAATTTGATTATCTAGTTAACACTGGCTTGTGGGGAACGACAATAAGAGCTGCAATACTATTACATCTGTGAATTACATTCTGTATCATAAACTTGTCGTGAAGTGTGTCATATACTAAAGAATATCGGAGAGGGGGCCCCTACACGATGATTAGAAGATAAAACTATTTTGCATTAATTTGAATTAGCTTTCTCATGTTTTATTGTCTTACCTATTCCTGGTTAGTGACAATTGGCATCACTATTCAAAAATTTGTTTTCTAAAGACACGCACGGGGGCAATTGTTTGTGTGACCTAACATAAAGATTAATAATGTCACACACCCCAATGTTCATATATTTAATACCCACTGAATTTTGCCTTCTAATTAAAGACGAGTTGAAAACTATGTTTCATTTTTTCTTCTTTTAGGATGAGTAGAATTGTAGAAAGTGGAAATTATTCGCTAGGGGTAAAATAGGGAATATTTGAAAAAGTTTGCAAGAATGAAGATCTTCCTGGCGCAATGGAGATATGATATCTCAACAGAATCATACAATTGTGATTCGAAATATATGCAATGATTATATTTCATAACGGAAAGTAGCAGTGTGGTTTGGGAAAAATTGCTTTGCTTGGTGAAAAAGTATTGAGACGTTTTTCTCACTCTATGATCCACAACCCACAATCAACATCATGAATTCCACACACTATAGGGAATCTTAATCCTAACGCCATGTGCTACTCCGATAAACCATATTGCCTTATTATGCCGCGTAGCTAGTACAACGTGACAATCACGTTCCCACTAAGCTATTACTAGTAGAAAATCAATTAAAAATTTGTAAAATCAAAACCACGGCCAAATGAAGAACAATATGCAAAAGAACCAATTAAGTTAAGCAAATTAAAGAGGTGAATATATGAATAAATAATGTGAACCAAACAAAGTCTAAATAAATTGGATAAAAAGTAATAGAATTTTATGCTGAAATAACAATAACTAATAATAAATATTCCTTTTTTTCACTACCATACCAATTTTGTTGTACTTTGTGAAAGTAGAATGGATTTGGTTTCAAGATTGGAAGACTCTATTCACATGGGAACTTTTCCACCCTCTCAAACACGTGTCCGTAACTTACACGTTATTCACCATGTCCCTGCCGATCCCAACAATCAAACAAAAACCACTCTTTCTACCCAGATCCTTCATTTCTCCATTTTCACTATACTACATTGATAAATTAATCTTATAGTTTCACTTTTTGCAATTTTTTTTATAATGGCGGAAAGAACTTTAAGTCTCAGAGATTAAAAAAGGAAAAGAAAGAAAGAGAGCAATCATACAGTCACTGACTTTGTTGTACCTTTTTAACGGCAAAGTTAAAACAAAGAAACGGACACGGAATTTAAGGGAGGAGTTAGTTAAAAAGAAAACATGAGAATTTGTTTGTTCTTCATTGAGTGAATTTACAGAAATTCTGCACAAGCTTGCTCTCTAAGCTGCTTCTCTGTAAAAGCCATTCCGATTTCCAAAGAATCAAACAAAACTAGCTTAAATAAATTAACCACACCCCAAATATTAAATCTATACACTAAAATAAAAGAGTCTTGAAGCTCAGATTAAACATAAATTAGACTCAAATTCAAATACCTAAACTAAAAAATAAGAAAAATGTCAGCAAAGTGGCAAATTCCAACAGATTCACAGCGTTACGTTACGTTAACGTTCATGGCTTCAACTGAACCCACTCGTAGCGTCCTTCCAATGGAAGGTCCTTCAGAATATCATAATTATACCTGCAAAACAATTTTTGAGGAATTGAATAATCATCATGTATAAAATAAAGCACAATGAGAGAAGAAATTTCTGGTGATTTTATTTTAACTTACTTTTCTTGAAACTTTTTCTGAATGTCTTTCTCAGCAGCAGCGAAAAATTCTTCAAGCTCAAATTCCGTTGGCGTATTTTTTGCAGATGAAATCGGACGGTGAGAATCGGTCTCCATTAACTCAAGCTCATGAGAATTTCCTCGAAACTCGCTTGAACGACTCATCTCTCTCCTACACTCACCAAAATATTCCGTTTCAGAATTATGAAATAGAATGCGAAATTGCGAACGCTTATAGTTAGTTATATACACACACATACAAGAGTAAGAGAGAGAGAGAGAATCAGTTAGTTATACTACAATTTTTCGAACGGAAAAAAATCTGGCTGTTAGAAAAATTTGAATTAAATTAAAAATTTTAAAACAGTTGAAGAATTTGAAAAACGAAAACTGTAACTAACTTGAACAATTTCTAAATTCAAAATAAAAAAATGAATGAATAAATAAATAAACCCGCTCCATTCAACAACCTCTCAATTTCTTCATCGCAATTGCACGTTGATGTTTCACCTTGCGCGCTCTCCACCTGTAAATTAATGGAAAAACGTTCAATGCGTTACATTAAATTTAGTGAAACTGAATCATTATGAACGAACTTAAAGTCGTAGTAGTAAAATTTATTAAGAGTAAGTAACAAAACGCAGGTTCAATAAAAACTTATAATAAATCGCATTAAATTGTTCAGTTCAGTTCTTCATATAGTATAATTCAGTTTCAGATTTCAAATTCAGTTTCTCTAACCTCCAGATCTAACGATTTGATCCTTTGTTCATCGAGTCCAACGGATCCGTTGCTTGAACAACACGACGCCGGAGATTCTTCATCGAAGGAATTTTCCTTGACGGTTGAGAATTTACGGTTTTCGGTTCTGTTGTTGATCTTTCTTCTCTTTGAAGTTGGTGGAGGTGAACTTGTGACTTCCATGGCTAATGCGGCTCGAGCTCGAGTTCTGACACCTACCTGAGCCATCACCATTGATGAAACGATGCAAGTACGTTTTCTGAGACTGTAATTCTAATTCTACACACTTCTCTCGCTTTTCAGGTGTTGGAGTTTTCTGAGTTTTTTCTGGTTTTGTTAATGTAAGAGAGAGAAAGGTGAAAAAATGTGGCGCGTGAGAGAGAGTGTTGTTACGCGCGTGTAGGTAGGAGACGAAGATGATAATGACGAAATGAATTGAACGGTTAGGATTGGATATTTGCTTTTTCGTAGTGGTGTGGGACTCTTGGTGGTGGTGGTAGTGTGGTCCAGACTCCGTTAATAGTGACGGGGGAATCTCAGAACGGGAAAATTGACGGCGCCGTTATGTGATCAAATTAGAGAGTGACACGTCGTTGAAACTAACGGTGTTTTGTTGGAGTCGGAAATGGTGATAGATGACCGTGCAGACCGCGTTTGGATTTTTCTTTGGAGTAGAAACTGCGTTTTGGATAATCTTCCAAGAAAACCGCGTTTGGATTATTGATGCTGATTTTTTGCAGTGAGATTGTGAATCATGCGGTTAAGATGAAAACAACCATAATTTATTTGCGTTTGTTTTTGAGGAATTCCGTTTGGTGGAGAACCGGTTTTAGGCAAAATAATTGTGTTCAGAAGGTTAAGTTACTGATTTATCCTTGCTTGTGATTGCGAAATGCGAAAATGCCATTCGCTTTAGTCCAGAATATAGTTTCTTCTGTTTGTTTGTCGTGACTCGTCATCACCAGAAAACTAGTCAGCCACACGAGCATTTGGAGTTTTATCGCCGTAACAATCATAATGTGAAATTTATTTTTATTCCTTGTATTTAGATAAAAAGTTAAATATATATGTTAATAAAAAAAGGAGAATTAATACAAGCAAAAGATGGATTTAGGAAAACTCAAACAAGAAAATCACAGTCAGACTACAAACAAAAACAACACGAGACCACATAATTCATGATAGAATATGCTTTGTGATAGAATATGCTTTAATAATGCAAGGTTATACTATAAACTCTTTGGCAAAAACCCCCTCTAATTTTTTAGCCTTCAGTCTCTATTAGTTTTCTTTTTTACTTTATTAACTACTATTAACTACTAGTAATTGCTTAAGCGCTGATTTTTTATTAACAAAAATTAGTTGACTTTTCTTTAAAAAATATTTTAATGTTTTCAATTAGGTAATTTGAAAGCATAAACAAACATTCTTACCAAAAGAACGGGGTTGTAGAATTAGAAGGTATGAATGTAGATAACATTTAGAAGAAGGCAAAGAATCTCAAAATTTTAAAGGATACAAGTACAAATTTTGTCATAAAATTCACACTTTTGAAAATAAATATTGGATGTTTTCATCTTTCTCACAATCACGTGTACAGTCCATTGTGATTGGAAAAATTATTCTTTGCATCAATAAATTATCTTTTATTGGGATCACATTGTTGATCATTTTTAAAGTGAATAAAGAGACTTTAAGTGGCGTAATTTTGTTTCATATGAACTCTTAGGTTAGTATTAGATCAATTTGAACTTCGTGAGTCAGAATAAGATTTCCTCCTCTCGCGGACAAACAAATGTATTATTGACCTACAAAGCAATATTATTTAGAAAAAAAGCATGACATTCTCGTATGTTCTTCCTCCCATGCAAAATGTCTCTTCCTCCACTTCCATCCTAGATCCTTAACCTTCACCCTAATATTCTCGTATGGGCTACATAAATATTTTCATATGTTGACAAGTGATATAGGGGATGGTCTCTTCAGACAATGCTCATTTCAAAAGAATAAATATCCATCATTTTCCAACGAACAACATAATTTGACATATAGCCAACAAATTATACTCCATCACACTATAAATCTGTTGGATTTGGACTCTCTTTCTATGTGGAGAAAGACCTAAATATGAATAGTCTATTTGTTTCACTTATATAAGTGAAGAGTGTCAATTTGGAGTTAAGAGAGATAGAGAAAAAATAAGGATTCAAAAGAGAGAAAAATGAGAGAAATTCATTCCCGTTTTTTCTGGAGCAGTCTCACTAAAATAACGATCCTTGATTCTTCACCGTCGGATCGAGCTGAAATTTGATGGGCTTGTTTGCAACACATATATCTAACTTTTGACTGTTAGAACCTTCAAAAAAAAGGTCTGAGTTGAGAGATATCGACTTCGCATAGAAGCTGCAAATTTGAGAAAATTTTAAGTTTTTTATTCTTATTTGTAAGCTAATTTGATTTTTGATTTGCAGTTTTTATCACTATCTTGTGAATTACTTTAAGACTCTCTTGTATCTTAAATTGATTATAATGGAACTATTTTCTTTGGTCTAGACAATTCGTAGTTTACTCTTATATCGAGGGGTTTTCCACATTAAAATATCGGTGTTCTTTTGTGCTTTTATTGTTCGATTATCGTCTTATATTTGTTGTTGATCCTCAAGGTTCCGACAAGTTTAAGAAATATTATATCAGTTGCGTATTAGTCTATTATTGTGTCTTAATTTCCCATCAGAGTGGCATCAAAGCTCTTGGTTAAGGACTATTTTACTTGTTCGAATGATAGAGTCAAATACAAAGATGAAGATGATATTGGTGAATGGTTCTAATTACCATTTATGGAAGGACAAGATGAAAGACTTACTATTTGTGAAGAAATTACATTTAACAGTTTTTAGTTCTGTAAAGTTGGATTCTGTCTCTGATGAAGAATGAGAGTTTGAACATCAACATGTATGTGGTTTTATTCGATAATATGTAGAAGATAATGTTTATAATCATATTTCTAATGAGGCACCTGCGAAAACTTTGTGGAAAAAGATAAAGTTCTTGTATGCCTCTAAATCATGGAATAATAAATTATTCTTGTTGAATAGTTTCATAAGTTTGAAGTATAAGGAGGGGACTTCTATTTTAGATCACTTGAATGAATTTTCAAAGGCTCCTTGATCAGATTTTAGGAATGGGTATTAAATTTGATGATGAACTTTTAAGATTATTCCTATTGCTATCTTTACCAGAGTCTTGGGATACATTTTGGGTTTCTATTAAAAGTTCTGCTCTAAGAGGTGTTATTTCTTTGGAAACGGCTAAGGGTGATATTCTTAATGAGGAGATGAGAAAGAAGCCACAAGGTTCTTCATTTCAATCTGAGGTACTTGTCACTAAAAATAGGAGAGAAGTCATAAAAAGGAATCAAAGGATGGTAGAGAGAATAGCATAAGCAAGTCCAAACCATGATACAAGAATCTGCAGTGTCATTATTGTCACAAAACATGACACATACAAAGTATTATTATCAGTGGAAAATGGATAACAAAGGTAAGAAAGGTAAGTCTAAAAAAAGAAATTATGATGATGATCATGTTACTACTGCTACTTATAATGATCTTGTTATTCTATGTGATCATGAGTCTGTTAATCTCGTACCAGACGAGAGCATATGGATAATTGACAGTGGTGCTACATTGCATGTTACACCAAGGAAGGATTTCTTTATATCTTATACTTTTGGTGACTTTGGAGTGTTTAAGATGGGTAATGGTGTATCTAAGGTAATTGGTGTTATGATGTTTGTTTGCAAACAAACATGGGAATGCAATTGTTGCATATAGGTGTCAAACATGCTCCAAATGTTCGCTTTAATTTGATCTTTGTGTATATGCTTGATGATTGTGGTTATGACAATCACTTTGATTCTGGAGGGGAGAAGCTTTCTAAATTATATTGGACAAAATATTTAGTTGCTAGGGACAGTGTGAATGCTATCGACATGAAAGCATCTTTGTGGCACCAAAGACTTAGTCATATTAGTGAAAATGGGCTCAATGTTTTGGCCAAAAAGGATATTCTTTTTGGGTTAAAGAATTCATATTTGGAGAAGTGCTATCATTTCATGGATGGTAAACAAACTAGAGTATCTTTCAAGAGACATCCTCCCTCAAGGAAGTCAAAGTTGCTTCAATTGGTACATTATGATATTTGTGGGCCATTAAAGGTAAAATATTTTAGTGGTGCACTTTATTTTGTTACCTTTATTGATGATTGTTCCAGGAAACTATAGGTTTATGCCTTGAAGACAAAATACCAAGTGTTAGAGAAGTTCCAAGAAATTAAAGCTTTGGTAGAGAGGAAGACATGCGAGAATCTGAAATGTGTTCATTCTAATAATGGTGTTGAATATTGTGGACCATTTGATGCCTACTGCAAGAAGCATGATATTGCACATGAAAAGACTCCTTCTAAAACTCCTCAATTGAATAGTTTAGCAGAGAGGGTGAATCTAACACTAATTGAGATAGTAAGGTGTATTCTCTCTGAAGCTAAAGTTTCAAATAATTATCGGGGTGAGACACTTTACACGGCAGCGTATATTCTTAATCTCACTCCTACTATTGATTTGAATAGTGAAGTTTCAGACAAGATTTGATTTGGAAAGAATGTCAAGTATGATCATTTGAGAGTCTTTGGTTGTAAGACTTTTGTGCATATTCCAAAGGATGAAAGATCCAAGTTGGATACAAAGTCAAAACAATATATATTCACCGGCTATGGGCAAGATGAGTTTGGTTACAGGTTGTATGATCATGTAGGGAAGAAGCTTATCCAAAGCCGCGATGTAGTATTCATGGAAGACCAAAATATTGAAGACATTGATAAGGTAAAGAAGACTACACCCAAGAAAGATATTATTTTTTCTAATGTTGACCCAGTTCGGTTACCTAATCATAATCTAGATGCTATTGGTGGTGATGATCATAATGGTTATCTATATGATTATGTTAATGATCAACAACTTAGAGATGAGGTAAATATTCCAACTAATGATAATAATGAAGGGGAAAATGATATGACATAAGATAACAATCTTAGTGAAGATCCAGAATCATCTCAAGTTCAACTTATGAGGTCTATCAGGCAGAGAACTACATGAAACAACCTGATGGTTTTCAAGTTAGAGGCAAAGAAGATCATGTTTGTAGATTGATAAATAGTCTATTTGGGTTGAAGCAAGC